GAGGGGAGGGGAGGGTAAGGAGAATGCGTGTGGGGAGGGGATTAAAGGCACACCACAACCATGAATGCATCACCCATCATATCTGTTTTTGCGAGCGAAGCCGCAACAGGTTATCTAGTGTCATGTAAATGTCCTTGCCGACATGTGCTCCTAATCTTTCCCCGTTGGAGCCATGTTAATCTTTCTCTGTACCATTCCAGTTTTAATGGATGTCCCAAAGGACTACACTCTTAATCTCCCGTATTGTCTTTTATACTTCTGGCTGCAGGCCTTTTTAACCACACTCCGCATTTGGACCTATCGATACATAAGGCATGTCTGATTTGAAAAACAGAAGTCACAACTGCTGCCAGTAATCCCTGTGCACTTGGCAATCCAATGTCCTGACTCGTAAGCCTTAACCCCGTCAGATCTCTGTGAATCAGCCGAAGAGATTTAGGCGCATTGGGCAATCCGATGTCCTAAGCCTCAACCCCATGAGATCTCTGTGAATCAGTCAAAGAGATGTAGGTGATAGTGCAACCTTTGTGAATCTGCCGAGGAGGTACAGTTGATTGTCCTCAGCTCTGGTACCAGGTTTAGGCTTTTGTGCAAGCCTGAGCTGGCCCACTGGGCCCCTACAAAGAAACCATCTGGCCTAGATCAGTTGGTACCAGAGGTCGCCAAACAAATTTTTCCTCCCACCCATATCCGACCCAATCCAAGCCTTCATATATCATGTGTACCCGCACCCAGTGCCACCCACGTCATTTTTTTTTTTTTTACCAAGACCCACCCCACCTGAGCTAATTATTTTTTTTTTGTACCCGTGCCCACCCACACCAAGCATCTGCAGTAGAATCCTTACCCCTACCCAGCCACACCCAGGCCTAAATTTTCTCCACCCGCATCCGGCCGCACCCACCAATTTTCATCCACCCGTGCCCGGCCATACCCATGCCCAAAGTTTACGACCCACCATGCACTTCTTTTCTTCCCCGATTTCAAACTTAGGTCTATGCATGTTAGAAATTCACTTCCATCTTTAAACCACCGCACTCGCGACAACTTTGTTTTCAATAATTCGATAAGACATTCAACAGCTTGAACTTTGAAGTACATTCAGAAGCGGAACTAAGGCGCACTCACACTAGCACTATCTTAAATGTATCTGACGGCATTTACGAAAGGACCTGTATGCATCTGGCCGCAGATCTGTCCAGAAATGAGTAAAAAAGTGCTAGTGTGAGACTGTGAGTATGCCCTAAGGAGGGGAAATTAAACGGCAGAAGAAAAAGAAGAAAGCGCACAGAGCTAGGAAGAAGGGAAAGGCGAAGAAAGAAAAGACACTGAGAAGAAAAACGCGACAACAACGGAGCGAGGTGAGTGTTTGAAGGCAAAGCAGTTGGGGAGGTACAACTATAACAAGGAGGACGACGTGATGAGAAACACAAATGGCATAGCCACAGGTTTAGAGGAATGGGATGCAGTCGGCATTGGTCGGAGTCCACAGCGAACCGGTGGTTTGAGGTTCGACTTTCTGGTTCGTAATGTTGAGATGCGTGATGAACACAAGAACCCTATGGAGAACCGGTATAAGGTCTCGCAGCAAAGCGCTCCAGGGAGGGGATCATTGATTACTGGCACTGCGTACTCTCTCTCTCTCTCTCTCTCTCTCTCTCCTCCGCCTGGCCTCACTGGCCAGCAATTAAGGAATGCACCTACCGCTAGAAGGCGTCCAGGTACGTCGTCCTGATGGCGTGCATCAAGATCCTAATCTCTCTCTCTCTCTCTCTCTCTCTCAGCCCGTCAGCCGTGTTTGACTACAGCACATTCAGCATGCATCTGGACAGCTTGAATGGCCAAGTACATTTATGCTTGCCTTCTTGTACATGTGTTGGTAGTAGACTCGGTACAATCTCTCTCTCTCTCTCTCTCTCTCTCTCTCTCTCTCTCTCTCTCTCTCTCTCTCTCTCTCTCTCTCTCTCTC